GTAAGAAATGAACAAGCGAAACAGAAAAAATATTGGAAAACATAGTACAGGAAAACCTTCCTTAAGTGAGGGAGGAGCTGAATCAGCCATCTGAAAGATCACAGGGTATACTAGGCAAAATTTAGATAGAAGAAACAGCATTGAGTCATATAATGATAAATCTATTCAACTTCAAAGATAAAGTATTCTTCAGACATCCAGCAGAAAAAGCAAAAGGGAAGAAAATCCAGGGGGCTTCAGACTTCTCTCCATCACTTCCCCATGCCAGAGAACAGTAGGGCAACACCTACAGAGGAAAAGAACTGTGAGCTACAAAGTTTTTATCCAGTCAAATCATCATCCATGTATAAAAGCAACAAGGAGAGCATTCTAAAACATGACAGAGCTCAGGGAAAAAAGCCTCCATAAACCTTCTTGAAGAAAGCCTTCCAGACCAGACTCAGAGCCAGACTGTCTGGGTTTGAATCCTGGCTTGCCACTTACTGGTTGTGTAATTCAGGCAAGTTACTTTTTGTGCCTCAGTCTCCTCATCTGTAAGGGAGGGTTAACAATAGTCACCATTTCATTGGGTTGTTTGTGTAGATTTAAAAAATTAATGTGTATACAGTGCTTGGAATAGTGCCTGGCCCATAGGAAAATCCATATATACATATGTTCGCTGTAATCAATGTTATATATCATTGTGATGAAGAAATCTATCCCCCCAAGAGATGGACCGCTGGTGAGCATTGAATTAGTTTAAATACAGATCCAAGATAAAACAAAAACAGCAACAACCAAGGGAAGAATGGCTGCAGAACAGAACGTACATGCATAAATCTTGACTAAGCAAACAAAATAAAAACACCCAAAAAATCAAGAGGTGGGAGAGAGTCTAAGTATGCTGGTCACTTAAGCTTTTATAGCAAAATCTTTCAATCCATACTGTCTAAAATTGAAACAAGCAATTAGAAAACAGCCTCTTAATGGTATTCATGGTCTTTCTTCTTATCCTTAGATCAATCTCTTATGAATGAGGAAAGATCTATGAATTTCACTATTCCTTTTATTTTCACTTTAGTTTCTTTTGCCTTCTATTCAATCCATGTAAAATTAAATTTTTTTATTTTTAAAGGAAATATAACATGATTCCATTGTTATGAGGTTATTTTTGTTCATCCATCCATTCCTCTGTCCAATTATAGTTTGTAGATAGAGATGTTTGAATTGAGGGTCATTACATATTAGCACTAGTTATTGTTGGGGAATAGAATTTGAGTAATGCATTGTTTTTTTGCTGTGTTTCTTGAATTTTTATAATATGCATGTATAAAGCCAGTAAAGGTATTATTTTAAAACATATCAATCCTGGGTTTCGGCACCAAAAAAAAAAAAAAAAAAAATCAGTTAAACAACCAACTACATAAACAAGTCAATCCTCTCAAACTCTGTACAGAATGACTCATGCCTGTTCAAACACATTTTGTTCTTAAGAGAAGAGATTCTATGTATAATCAAAATCAACCTTTTCATTTTTCGTCAACTATTTTCCACGCTATTTCTTAAGCATTAGGGAACAGTTTTGTCAACACCCAACTCGAAATCAAAGCTTATATGTGATGAAAAAGAGTGGCTGTGGGGTGTGGAGTGATTCATAGGAACGTGATTTCCCGTATCAGGGAATAATGATCTCCACCAAGTAGGCTGGGCTTTCCTATAATGTCGAGCAAGAAGGTAGGGCTTATGGGAGCCACAGGCAAATTTATTTCCCTGCCACTCAGACAACTGTGATAATGATACAATCCTTTGACTAAAGATAATGCTATTGACCTGCCATGGAACCTGCCATAGAGCCTGGAGTCCTGGGTTCAGTAGCTGGCTGATCCTCTGAGCTAACCAGGCAGTCTTCACTGTTCCTTCCCCTCCCTCCCACTTCGTCTTGACCGCTCTCTACTTACACTTTATGGTGATTGTTCTTCTCCCTCCACAAGCCTGTGAGCTCCTTGAGGGCAGAAGCTGCCTTGTTCGCTGCTCCACTCTAACACCTGTGCCTGGCACAGAGCCTGTCTGAGGGTGGGTTCTTGGTGAGTATTTAGTGAATGGGATGAATATTGAATGAGTTATGCATCCTTCTTGCCCAGTCCCTTCTGTCATCAAGCATATACATGTGTGAAGACAAATGACTGGGATAAAGGAATCTGTCTTCTCACAAGATCATGTGAGACTGAAAACTCTGAGCTTAATCAGCTCCATTACCAAGCTCATCGCTGAATGTAGGCAGGGCTCCTTACTACCTCAACAAATTCATTTTTTCTTTCTTTTTTGGAGGCAACAAAGAAACCAAAGAAGGGTTGATTAAAGAACAATTGGGGGACTTCCCTGGTGGCACAGTGGTTAAGAATCCATCTCCCATTGCAGGTGACACGGGTTCGAGCCCTGGTCCGGGAAGATCCCACATGCCGTGGAGCAACTAAGCCCGTGTGCCACAACTACTGAGCCTGCGCTCTAGAGCCCGAGAGCCACAACTACTGAAGCCCATGCGCCACATCTACTGAAACCTGTGTGCCTAGAGCCTGTGCTCCACAGCAAGAGAAGCCACCGCAATGAGAAGCCTGCGCACCACAACGAAGAGTAGCCCTGCTGGCTGCAACTAGAGAAAGCCTGCGTGTAGCAACGAAGACCAAATGCAGCCAAATAAAAATAAATTAATTAATTAAAAAAAAAGATCAATCTGTCTGGAATCACCCCTTAAGAGACTTTATAAATCAGCAGAATAATAATTGGCAAAGTATCATTACCTTGGTATCAAGGGTAACAATTTGGAATACTCTTCATGATGTCCCAATCCTAGAAGCCCTGGGTCTCCCTCATGACCTTATATCAACCATTAAGGAGAAAATTAAAGCTCAGTTGTTCACAGAATTACCTTGGCAAATAGCAACAGACATATCAGAAAAAGAAATATTTGGCTTTCTTCAATTCCATTAGATGTAGATTGGGCCCTTTCAAGGAATAAGGCCCTTAATTCCCAGTAGGTCAGATAGCAAAGACCATCTTGTGTTGAGTGTGGTGAATTAATCAGACAAGTGCAGTTAAACAGGGATCTGAGGAGAAAGCTGCATGTTCCACGTTCGTACGAAGCAAGAGATGCAGGGAATGGATCAGTGCCCAGGAGAGGCACAGACAGAAACTGGGCAGTACGCACAAGAGTGGTGGACCTCAGGGACCTTCAGACAATGTTTTCTTCCTAATATTTAGACACAGTGCAGACAGTATTTTTTGATGAATGGAAATAAAGAGAAAAAGAAGGGCAGAAAGAAAAGGAACTCCACAAAATACCAAAACTATTGTGTTTCCTGACTTGTATCCAAATTTAAGTCCTGAGATCTCTAGGCAGTCTGCCTTCGGTAAGGGACAATCAGGTGGTATTCTGTAACCTACTTCTAAGAAGTTTTAAATCAATCATTTAGAGATGGACTCACTTCCACTCAGTCTTCCATCTTGTTTTTCTTATTGATAAAAATTTGCTGATGTAGGGTAAGCCTCGCAAATTGCTGAGCATAAGAAACAATTTTTTTTTTTTTTTTTTTTTTTGCGGTACGCGGGCCTCTCACTGTTGTGGCCTCTCCCGTTGCGGAGCACAGGCTGCGGACGCGCAGGTTCAGCGGCCATGGCTCATGGGCCCAGCTGCCCCGCGGCATGTGGGATCTTCCCAGACTGGGGCACGAACCCGCGTCCCCTGCATCAGCAGGCGGACTCTCAACCACTGCGCCACCAGGGAAGCCCAAGAAACTATTTTTGATATCGGAAAATTTCCAAACTTTTGAGAAAGCTTGACTGCGTAGGCAGACCTGAGGTGGGCTCCTGGTTATTCTGGTGCTTTCCTAGGCAGGAGAGAATCTTTTCTTGGGACTGTGAGGATGGTTACCACTCCTACCAGCAGCCAGGGGCTGGCAGAAAGGGCATCTCCTCTGTTATAAGACCATCCTCACCAACTAAAAGAACCACTGTCCTGTCCTCTTTGACTGCCTTTAAACATATCACCAATAAATTAAAAAACCCATATCGACTAGAAGTCCTCCCAAGTTCACATGTCAAACTCAGTGGAAAATCGGTTAAAATGCAGAGTCCTGGGTCCCACCTGCCCGAGATCTGGGGTGGGGCCCCGGACTCTGCAGTTTTACAAACTTGACAGATGTCAGCGCTGTGAGCTGCATAATCGGTGAAACTGAGCTGTAGATGCTTACACAAGTTCCCTCTGAGCCAGCAACGGATGGGGCGTTATTAAAACCCATGAGAAAACTTGAAGAAACACAAAGAAATGGAAGATCTTTTGAAAGGCTGGTGGTGTATCATGCTGTCTCAACGACATTCACAAGGACTCCAGATGCCATTTATTTGAGATACTACTTTCTGTGGAGCTTGGTGCCAGACCTTCACGTGGTCCTGCTAATTTTCACAGTCATCAGCAGGAGATGATCCACGTTTTGCAGAAGAGGAAACAGAAACCTAGAGAAATTAGGAAAATTTCCCCAGGCCCTGCAGATCTTAAGGGTTAGAGCCGGAATGCAAGCCCAGGTCCGCACAACCTCAAAGTCCAAGCACGCTCCACCCTGCTGAACTGGCTGAGGGATCACCTGACTTTCGGTGAAAACAACGTCGGGCAGGATGCTCTCTTCCTTTTACCTGCATGCAGGGTCTCCCAGCATCTCTCAGGGTCAATGGCATTTACCTCAAATGTGTTTCTTCTTCTATTTCCCCCTGCAGTGGATGTCACAGGGAGACTTACCCCTCATTTTAGTTAGGCTGCTTAGAATCCCATAAGCTTATATCAGTGTCAGGAAAAAACAAAGCCCTGGAGGGTCCATCTAGAAAGAGATTTAGGGACTTCCCTGGTGGTCCAGTGGTTAGGACTCCCCGTTTCCAATGCAAGGGGCGTGGGTTAGATCCCTGGTGGAGGAACTAAGATCCTGCATGCTGCACAGCGTGGCCAAAAAAAAAAAGGAAAAGAGAGAGAGAGAGATTTAGCCTCCTTTACCAAGTCTCTTCTGCATCCACTACTTCTCTCAGGCTCTGAGCACTCATGGGTGACGGTGCTCCAGCCTTGGCAGAAGTGTCACAGCCTCAGTCACCAAGGATGCTGAGTTGTGACACAGCCAGATATCACTGAAGGGCCCGTGCAGTAAACCAATGAGTGGTGTGATGGCAAGGAAGCCATCTGTTTATGTTCTAGGGACCATAGGCAGTCATCTTTTTCTTTCCCAAAGGAAGAGACTTATGGAGGAGTTAGGGGAACAGCCACGTGAGTACTCAGGGACCAGTAACGGGCCCTTGCTCACTGACCCGGGCGTGGTGGGACCCAGGAGGCCCTCCCTGGTGGGAGGTGTGCCTGGTGGGAGCTGCCGTCAGGGAGGCCCTGGAGACACAGCCTGCACATCATCTTGAAAGCAGCGCTTGCAGAAAGAGAAATCTATAAATAGTCTTTTTACTTCCAAAGATGAAAGAGATTAAAGGCGGCCAATGAGAGACATTCTTTTTTCTTACATTCAGTCCATCTGTGCATTTGGTCTCTGAGGGGAACGACACCTGAATATTTATCAGACGAAACATTTGACCACTGCAAGCCCTCTACTCTCCTGCAAGTCGCTTTTCTCTGAATTGTCCATGCAGTGGCCAGGGAGTCTTCATTCAGGTCCATCTCTCCGTTACACCCAGTTTTCAGCCACACATATCACTGGTTTTTTTGGGGGGGCAGCTTTTTGAAGAGTTAGCATCTCGCACAATTCAGCTCACCACCTGTACCTCTCCCTTGGTTCTGGTTCAGACACTCTGCTCACCAGAGAAAACGTGACTTCAGTTCTCATAATGAATACTTTGTTTTCTGTCCAGTTCTCCCTCCAGTGTGGGGCGCTGTTCCCATCTCTGTCCATACCGTCGAGTTAGGACTGGCCATGTTCCTGTAGTAGGACTCACTCACCCTGCCCCTACTGTATAGTTCCTGAGGCTATGGTGGTCATAGTGCTGAGCTGACCCAGAGTCTCTTCCCTGGAAACTTGGAGAACTGTGTTTCCTCCCAGATGGTGGGAACAGTAACACGTGAACTTAGAGGGTTCTCTACAGCCATATTTTTCTGCTACGTGAACCAGAAAAGCAGAGGAAGCAGGTTACAGAGAGGAAGAGAAGAATGGAATGGAAACAAAGAGAAGAGGAGGAAACAGAGATGGGGAAAGAATCTGGGGCTGTTCAGTCCCTGGCTGAGTCATTCCCTGGCTCAGCCACATTCTTCAATTCAACTTAGCTAGACCCACTGAATCCCAGTAACTTGCCTTCAGAGGAGTTCTCTATATATGATTCATCTTCTTTTCCTTCAAGCACTGCAGCGTGAGAATTGTCATAGTCGATTAGGTTGTCCTTGTGGTTTTCCCAGTGCAGGTTCAGAGACAGCCACTGGCACGTTCCTAAAATATTTTACTTTGCCTTAGAATTCATACCATAACAACAGCAATGAATAATTATGAAGCATCTGTTTACAATGTTGACTTGATTTGCTGATGGTAAAGCTGAGGCTTAGTGAGCTGAAGCAAGTTGCCTCAGGTGGGACAGCTAGCAGGTAAGAGACTGAACTAGGATTCTTGATCATCGCAATCAACAAGTCCCCCTTGAGAACTGCTTAATTAGAGATCTGGAGTGGGGAATGTAGCAAGGTATGTTTTTGAAAGTTAAAAGTATAAAAGTTAAAAGTTTTTGAAAATTAAAGGTGTGAAAGAAAAACACACGTATAGTTATCCAATAAATATTTACTATACACCTATATATCAGAATTAGATTTAGTTACAATTAAAAAATAACACTAATCATGCAGCTTAAACGAGGTCAAGTTTTATTTTTCTCTCCAGAAATAGACAGCCTCGACTGGGTATCAAAGACACAGGCCTCTCCTAGAGTGTTCCCTCCAAGTAAGCTTACCTCATGGACACAGTGGTGGCTGTTGCTGTGTAGGCTTCGTTCTTCTCTTGCATTTGGATGAAAACTCAGGCAGGTTTGCTGGTCACCCAGGTGATACAAGCTCCTCTAATCAATAATGTAAGAGTCCAGTCCCATGTAACAGATAATACTTAGAACTTGGTTCAATATTACGTTTTCTTTTTCTCCCCTGATGGTGACCTGTTGCAGGTGGAAGCTGGCAGCAGGGAAAGAGGATATGTTTTCTCTTCACCTTGTGCTTCTCCTCCATCTCCCCTCCATCCTGTTAACTGTGATTTCTGCCCCCTGTGTAGAGCACAGGGAGAGAGAAGAGATAACATTGGTTAGTTTTTCCTTTTCTGGGGCTACTGTGAGCTCGGTGTTGCCCTGTCTGTGCTTGGGAAGTGTTGAAAGCTGACTCTTGGTTCTCATCTCTATTTTGTGCTTTTGTTTGATATCCCCATCAATGGAGACCTCCGTCTCCTCCGTAGATCACTAATAGAGACAATGCACTCGTCTCCAGTTCGTTGTTACTCCTGCACTTCCTGGCATTTGGCATTATTTCTAACTTACCTCTGCTGCTGTCTGTTCATCCCTCCAGACGGCCTTCTTGGATAAGACTCTGCTTGCTGAAGCTCGGCTGCATGGAAAGCAGTCATGCATCTTTCACGCTGACAAAGTCTGTGAGAGCAGAGATCGCCCAACACAGCTTCCTCTCCTTCACTTGTGTGCCTTGAAACTCTTGATCTTGACATTTCTTGGGTGCGAGTCAGACACAGTGGAATATTTCCTATCCCTGCAGGGGACGTAGATTATGCCTTCGGGGTGCTCCTACTGAAGGCTCTTCACTAATTTTAACACGAGGGGCTGACATCGCAATCCTACCTCCAAGGAGAGGATTGGAATCATAACACACCTAGAGCGTTCTCTGAAAGAATCTCACGACCTCTGCCCTCTCCTTTCCTGGCTTCTCCAATCTCTTCTCTCTCCTCAGGCTAGAGGTGGGTAGGCAGCTCAGGATTGAAACTGGTTTCAACCTCCCACTTCTTTTTGTTCTTTAATTGTTTTATTTTGAAATAATTATGGGTTCACAGGAAATTGCAAAGAAATGTACAGGGAGCTCCCATGCAACCTTCACCTTCAATGTTAACGTCTTGCATAACTGTAAAGAGATATCAAACCCAAGAAACTGACATGGGTACAATCCACAGTGTTTATTCAGATTTCACCACCCAATTGTGTGTGTGTGTGTGTGTGTGTGTGTGTGTGTGTTTGCCACTCTGTGCAATTTTATCACACGTGTAGTTCCATGTAACCACCAGCACAATCACATACACAACGGTACCATCACCACAAGGTTCTTTCACGCTACCCCTTTACAGCACACCCCTTTCTTCTGTTACCCCTAAGCCAGAAACCACTAATCAATGTTCCATCTCTGTAGTTATGTTATTTCATGGGATCATTCAGTACATATCTTTTTGAGATTGTCAGCCATCTCCTTTTTTACAAGTCTTTAAAAAAAAATGGTCTTACTTTGGAACATTAACATATTGTTTTCGTGATTCAGCTAAAACGGTGGTAAGAAGAGTCCCATTTTGACATCCTGTTACAAATTGTTTTATTCAAGCTTGAACATATTTTCTACTTTGCATCTTTCTGATGATTCAGCATTTCATTCATTTAACAGATATTTATAGAGTGCCTGGCACGTTACTGTCTTTGATGCTCTTGTCCTGCGTTGGGCTTAATGTTCTCAGGAAAGCAAATAACCCCTAAGGTCTCCTCTTGGCTCTAGGGTTAGTTCCTAGGCTATTGTTCTACAAGATTTTGATTTTAAGGTGCTTTAACTTAAGCTTACCAGCACTGAAACTCCTGTACCACTTTCTGCTCAGCCTTAAAAAAATGTCTCTATCCCACTGACTTGCCATTTTACTCCTTAGAATGTCTTAGGATCATCGACAACTGTGAAAGTTTCACTGTGTACCTAGTTCTTCAAATCTCTTTATAAAATTAGTCACCAAGATCAGCCCCTCTTGATCTCCGAGAGCTCCTACTTTTTGCAAAGGAATGTCTCTTTTATTATTACCCAGTTTTCCTATGTTGGAATTAAATTCTTCATCCATTTCAAATAGTCCCTTAATCCTATGGTGACTCAACCGTTCTTTACTCGTTCTTGGTGCGGACACTTGTCAAAGGCAGCTCCAGAGTCTGGAAAATGACTCTCCCCTCTTTTTCCATAGACCCTCAAAGAACTCATCATCAGACCCAGTTCCTCGTATAGATTCCGTCCTTCCTTTGCCTCCATGGGCTGTGCTGATTTGAGCTTTCTGCAGTTCTGAACTTTATTTAATGATTCCACCAGCTTGGCAAGTAGGGAAGGGAGAAACAACCAGTGGATGGTTTCCCAGGGTCCCCTCTGGAGACTTGGAATAAGCTGACATTGGCAACCTGACTGTTCTGTATCTAACACAGCAGCTTTTGCAACAACTGGTTTCACATCATGGTCGACAGTTAAGCAATCCTGCCCGTGAATTCATTGGAAATCCTTAGGTGAATCCCATCCTGTCTGGGTGATTTATTGATACGTGTTTTGGCAGTTAAGACTAGAACAATCTGTGCATTGACTACAATTTTGTTGAACGTCCTGACCTGTCTATTTCAAGGGTGCTCATTTCCCTGGTAGAGGGCAAGGCACAGCGCTAGTACAATTTCTCTTCTATTTCCTTTCTCCATTCCTTAGTGCGTTCCATCTACTGCCATCAGTTTCTTGGTTTTATTTTTGACATTCTTCGGGGTTTCTTGCAAGGTGTTCTTTAATGAAGGGGTCCCCAACCCCTGTTAGGAACCAGGCCGCACAGCAGGAGGTGAGCAGTGGGCGAGGGAGTGAAGCTTCATCCGCCGCTCCCCATCGCTCCCCATCGCTCACATTGCCGTGTGAACCATCCTCCGCCTTGCCCCCCTCCACCCCCTGTCAGTGGAAAAATTGTCTTTCACGAAACTGGTCCCTGGTGCCAAAAAGGTTGGGGACTGCTGCTCTAGTGAATCATAGAATTTCAGAACTAAAAGGAATGTTAAAATGTGACTTGGTCCAAACGCCCCAGCCTAAAGATGAAAAACTAAATTTTGCAAGAGCTTACGTGACTGGATCTGACCCATTTAGTGGCGTACCCTTCTTTTCTGGTTGTGTATGCTTATTTTTTGCTATTTATACTCCTATGAAGTTTTGAATAACACAAGTTTCCTTTTTGGCCTTAAAGTGCTATCCTTTTGCTACGAAGAGAGGGTGTCTGATCCATGCCGTCGGGTGCCCAGCTGACAGCCGCTATTTGGGATCCAGAGGTACCTCCATTCACCCTGTCGTATCTCAAGGTAGCAACCCCTCTGCCCAGCCCTGCCCAGTTCAGGAATCCCTCTGCCTGTTTCCTACGGTGTCTGCTTGACACCCTCTGACAACTTGTTGACTTCTCCACGGACGGAAATTCCCGGTTACAGTGTGTTTCTTTTATAAAACGTTCTGCTTTCCCAAAGGCTGCGTTCTCGGAGCATCTCATTTTGCTGTCGCTATCAGGAGATCTGAGACATGACACATGCAGGGTTTAAGTGGGATGGGATGAGATGGGAAGCCCGTTCCTTTCTTCCTGCAGGGTGTGAAGCCAGCCAGCTTCCTCTGACTCATCATCCTGCTGCCTTATTTTTACAGCTCAAGTGAGGCACAGATTGTCCGCCTCCCTTCCAGCCCTCGTTCTGAACACCGCACGCGCATTTAGTGCCATCAGGGAGTCTTCTCTCCACATCTGGTCCGAGTGGCCGTTCCCACTCCTGTGATGTTCCCAGTGGTCATCCCTGGGGCCAGAGGTCCCTGCTTTCTCTCTCTGCCTGTCCGTCCACGCTAGTGCTGGGAGTACCATGAGGGTGAAACCGAACGTGCTCGCCTTTCCTCAATGCTGTCAGCGTGGGGACCACAGCTCCATGTAGGGGTCCCTGAGGCAGGGCCTAAGTGTTTCCTCTTCTCCTGTATTCTAGCTGTCAGGCACATGGCAAGGCCTCAGTGAGCCCATGGTCATCATCGGCTGTATTCAGGCAGGGTCTCTCTGTCTCCACCCTGGTCCCCAGGGTGGGTCTATTAGTTATGCAACAGCCAGAGAAGACTCCAAAAAGTGTGCATCCGTCGTATCACTCCTCTGCCCAATGCCCTCCTCCCCCCACACAGTGACTGCCCCATCCCACTCACTGTGGGGAGGAATGAATTACTGTCCCCGTGTTCCCATCCCTGTGGTGTGGTAATAGGACACCCATACCCTGCCACAGCCTGGCCAAGGCCATGGTGTCCTCCCGCCCTGTGACTTTGACTTGGTCACGGGCTGTACTCTGGCCATGGGATGGTAGTGGACCTACTCTGTGCTGATGGGTTTGCTCTCCTGCACCTCTGCCATCGCCGGGACGAGGATGGACCCCAGGGGCTGGCGGGGCTGCAGCCTGGGCCCCAGAACGACACACATGGAGGAGGGCTGCCCCAACCGATGGCCAGATGCACAGAGAAACAGGTGCTCACTGCTGGGCAACCTTAGCTGGGGAGGCTGCCTCGTGGTCCCCGGTGTCCTCTCCAGTGGCCTTTCTGGACTCTCAGCCCCATTCGCTGCATTCCGGCAGCTCCCTCCAGCCTCAGGGCCTTGCGCTTGCAGCGTCTTCCGCTTCTGAAGTATTTTCTTCAACCAGCTGATGGGGTCTCTGGTGGTGATGAGTGCGGTGAAGTATGGGGTGCGGTGGTGAGCCTGGCAGGTGCAGAAGGAGGCTGTTTTAGATGCGGTGGCCTGAGGGGGGACATTTGAGCGGAGAACTGAAGGAGGCAAGCGAACAAGGCAAACTGCATCTCTTAGGCACTCTACTCTTCCTCCTACATTGGGGACTTGGTTCAGCTCTTCTCTTCACCTGGGAAGTCCCTTTCCCTCCTTGTCCTTCCCACACCCTTGTCCTTCTGACCCAGGGCCACATCCTTTCCAGGCTCCGTAGCTTCGTCGGAGGTGGCTGACATCTGCTGTGGCAGATGGCCCTGTGCTCCAGTGGCAACTCAGCTGCTTTCCAGGTGTGTGTTGGGGAAGACCATCTTGAGTTTATAGCCACCTGGTATTATAAGATGTTAGACTGAGAAAAAACGATATTTAGGGAGAATTTAAAAGACGTGTTCAAACTGCCATTCTTCCAGCTTTTCTGAAAACGACTCCTGGATCCAGCCAGGTTGGCAGGATGTGGCGACATGGGTGTCATGGTAGCCTCCCGCCCGCCACTCGGCTACAGCTGAACCGTCCTTTCTTGTGATGCCACCACCCAGGGCTGAAAGTTCATAGAAGACACAGTGGCATCCAACGTGGTCTGGAACCTTCCTACTCACAGAGTGGTCTGAGGACCAAGCACAGTGGCCTCGCCAACACAGGGGAGCTTGGTAGACATGCAGAGACTCAGGTCCACACCAGCCTGTCTGAATCGGTTCCTCCAGTGACCTGGGTGCACCTCAAAGTCTGAGCAGAACCAATCAATTCCTCATTGATGACATCACTCGGAATCCTTTTGCTTTGCAGGTAAATTCCTGTTTAGTTAGTCCCGATGCAATTTGCTCTTCTGAGCATTTTCTTGGCTTTGTTTTTCTGGCAGACATTGTAAATTGTGTCCAGTTTCTTTTCCCCTGGAGGCTGCTAAATCTTTTTTTTTTTT